GCTCTCTGAGCTTGGTTGGTTTCTTGCAGATGTTTTATGACCCAACTAGGGAACATCATCAGTGCTAGAAGGGAGTGGGGCTTGTGGAGAGAAAGGTGGTAGAGGAGGAGAGGAAAGAAGGAGGAGGAAGGAGGGAAAGGAGGAGGAGGACTGTGGGGTCCTTGGTGCTCTCTGAGCTTGGCTGTTTTCTTGCAGATGTTTTATGACCCAACTAGGGAACATCATCAGTGCTAGAAGGGAGTGGGGCTTTTGCAGAGAAAGGTGGTAGAGGAGGAGAGGAAAGAAGGAGGAGGAAGGAGGGAAAGGAGGAGGAGGACTGTGGGGTCCTTGGTGCTCTCTGAGCTTGGCTGTTTTCTTGCAGATGTTTCATGACCCAAGTAGGTAACATCATCAGTGCTAGAAAGAAAGGAGATGGCACTGATGATGTTACCTACTTGGATCCTACCCTCCACCACCACCACCATCTCCTCCACTTCTCTGCAAACCCCACTCCTTTAAAAAAAAATGTTGACGTTACCTAGTTTGGCAATGAAACGCCTGCAAGAAAACCACCCAGCTCAGAGAACGCCAAGGACCCCACAGTTCAACCCTGAGCTCTTCGGCTCTGACTGGATGGTGGGGAGTGGAAGGATTCATATTCCTCGCAGACAGCTGGTCATTTGCATCCCTTTCAGAGAGTCGTTGAGGCCACTTGGAAGTTTCTCTGTGTCCTTGGAACTGCTGAAAGGACGGTGTTGTACGCTGGAGATTGGTGGAGAAACAAAACAATCACGTCACATACGCATGGCACAACATTAGGAGAACAAACCCCACAAGGTCCAGAGTCAACAGCCCATCTGCTTTTAAAAGATAAAGGCTACTTATTTCAAGACAGCAAAGTCCACATTTTGGACAGAGAGAACCTCACTGGTTTGAAAGCGGGGTCAAAAATTGAAATCTACGTCAAAATTGAACAGCCCTCTCTCAATAGATGGGGAAGGGGAACGACATCACCTATCTCCAGTCTACAACCCAGTCAGTAGTTCCAAGAAGGCTCCGCACCCATTTGCCCCACTCAGGTGACCCTGAGGACAGAGATAAACCTCCCAGTGGCCTCAACGACTCTCTAAAAGGATGCAAACGACCAGCTGTCTCAACGGCTCTCAATTGAAACTATTAGCAGCTGCTCTACATCCTCTCTTTCCAGTCTACAACAGAGTCCTTTCAGTAGTCCCAAGAAGGCTCCATACCCATTTGCCCCACTCAGGTGACCCTGAGGACAGAGATAAACCTCCCAGTGGCCTCAACGACCCTCTAAAAGGAGGCAAATGACCAGCTGTCTGCAAGGATTGTAAATCCTTCCCTTTCCAACCCTCCAGTCAGAGCTGAAGAAGCTTCTGGGATGAGGAGAGAAACGTCTTCAAAGAAAAACCAGAAATCCCAGTTGCCTCTTGGGGGGGAAAAAGCACTTTGGGGAGAACCACAATCTGGAGGACGGAGAATCTCCATAGATACCCTGCAGTGACAGTTCAGCTGCCCTGTTTCCCTCGATAATAAGCCCAATCCTGTTGATCTTCGGATTCGCTTCAAGGTGCTAGTTGTCACCTACAAAGCCCTTCATGGTATTGGATCT